GTTCTAGCATCACCATGAGGTTACCCTGTGGCATCGCAACACGAATAAAAGGTCACACAAACACCTATGATCAAAATCTCAAAACTTCTCATGTCTTCTGTTCCCAGTCGTCACATCTAATTTTCATCAGAAGAGCACAGAAATAGAATGACACTTTTCAACAGCAGTGAATATGCAGATAATGACGCGTAATGAAGTTAGATCTTTCACAGCTTAAAACCACGAACTATTATATCCATCGGTGTTAACTAAAGTTTCTTGACTTTCGAGCACTCAATATTCCCATCTAACGACAAAAACCATTTTAATCTCTTGTCGGAAAGTCCGCTGTTTCATTTTTATAATTTAGGTAGACCTAATGAACTCACAGAGGGAGGAATCCAACCATAAATAAGGTATGACTAAATATATGTATAACGTCGCCTGGTAAATTAGTACACTAGTCATCAGCTGCCAAGCCCAGCACGATAAGGAGGGAAGGTTGGGCATGTGGCTAGCAACCCCATCACCGAAAACCAATCCAACCGATAAACAAACTTCAAACAACAAACAAAATATAAAACATAAAAACAAACTTATTCCTCACTGGATCAGAGGGACGAAATGATACCGGTTGGTGAAAGCATTCGGGAAGCCAGTCGGTCAACGTCTTCTCTCTCTCCCTCGATGAAAGCGAAAGTAAACATGGGGATATGGAATGTCCGCACCATGTATGAACCTAACAAGGCTGTCCAGATTGCAAAAGAGATGAGGAGATATGTCATAGAAGTGCTCGGAATCTGCGAGACCAGATAGAATGTGTGGAAGTGGACTCACCAAACTGTCAACTGCAGAGTCAACAACCTACTCCGACACTTCCACCCAGACGACAACCACCAGCACACTGAGTTTTCCAGTGACTATCATGATGTCCACAGGAGAATCAAAGGCTCTCTCCCTCTCTCTCTCCCTCATACAGTGGAAACCAATCTACTGCTGCAGGATCACGATCATGACAGCAAGATTCAACTCGAAAGGAAGAGAAGTCACAATCATTCAATGCTACGCTACCCACCTATAAAAAAATAATGCAGATGAAGAGAAGAAGGAGGAATTCTACAGACAAATGCAATCAACACTGGACAAGACCCCACTCCAGTTGGCGACGAGAATGCCAGACTGGGAGCAGACAACACAGGAAGGGAACCAATCATAGGTCGAGGAGCACTCGGTGAGGTGATGAATGACAATGGAGAACTGTTTGCAGATTTCTGCACATTCAACGATTTGGTGATTGGAGACGAGGCACTGTGTGCACAAACACAAGGATATTCACAAGGTAGCCACATGGATTTGATTTCACCAGACACCAGGACTGACTACACTGAAAATCAGATCGACTTCATCTCAATGTGAAGAAAGTGGAGAAGGAAGCAGCCAGCCAACTGGATACAAGATGAGATGAAGAAGGGGAGCAGATGTAGGTTCACACCACTCAAGGAACCTAACTTGATAGCCTTCAAAGAAGTTGGTGGGTGATAGACCACACACAGTTGAAGTTCAACACGCAAAACAGAAACTGGAGGACGAAACTACAAAGGAAATCTTCACGTCAGTCAGTCAGTCAGTCAGTCATGAGAACAAAATGGGAGACATTGAGAAACATCTGTGAGGAAAGCTGTGTGGAAGAAGACTGCAACTGTTTGAAAGCTATGTGCAAGGAAACCTGCATAACCGTATTAGGAGGGAAAAGGAAAGAAGATAAGGAATGGATTTGGACGGTCACATGGAATCTGATAGAGCATGAAGAGGAGGATAGAGGAGTGCAGTGCAGGGATGAACAAGAGAAAGGGGAACTGAATACGATCTATGAAACACTACACTGGAGAAAGGAAGAAGTGAAGAAGAGTGTGCGGAAAGACAAAAGACACACACTGGCAAGTGAAGCAGAACAGGCTGCTGGTAGGAGAGACAGAAACCTGCCAACATTATATCAAATAACCAGGTTACTATCTGGGAGGGGAGAGATCAACGCAGATGAAACTAATGAAAGATAGTGAAGGGAGGCTAGTTAGCAAAGAGGAGGAGAAAGAAAGGAGACGATGGGTTGACCACTTCAAAAAGCTCTTGAATCGACCACCGTCACCACCACCTACACTTCTTTCAGTCAGAAATACGACCAACAGTCTGGCAACAGAACTACTGGTGAACACAAATCCTCCGACGAAGGTGGAAGTCCCTAGCGCCATAAGGACAATGAAATGCGGGAAAGCAGCAGGACCAAATTTGATTCCGCCAGAAGCACTGTGAACAGATGCAGAGACAACAATGGACATGCTCACACCACACCACTATTGCAGAAGGTGTGGAAAGAAAGTAGGGAAGGTATCTGCCGACTGCATAGAAGGAAGGCTACCTTGTCAAACTTCCAAGGAAGGGAGACCTAAGTCTTTGCAGAAACTGGCACGCAATCACCCTCCACCCCTGTCCACCCGAAACAAAATATTAAGCAGCATCATACTGGAGAGACTAAACAATGCTCTGCATTCAAAATTACGCCCAGAACAGGCTGGCTGATTGGCTTCAGGAAGAAGAAATCATGTGTGGATCAAATCCTAACGCTACGCCACGCTAAGCATCATCATAGAACAGAGTGTAGAATGGCAGTCAACTCTCTACCTCAACTTCATCTACTTTGAAAAGGCCTTCGAAAGCGTCGACCGACAAGTAATTTGGCAGGCAGTTGCTGCAACACTACCGTTTTAGTGTCACAAACCTCTATCGACCTCATTCAACAGCTAGCTAGCTAGCTAGCTATATGCTATATGATGCTACATGCCAAGTGATTCACATCGGAAATCTCAGTGACGCCTTTGAAGTGAGTAGGACAAGGAGTAAGACAAGACTGCCACCTAATATCACAAAATGATCTTCCTGATTGTGGTCGACCAGACTGAACTGGACTGGACTGAACTGGATAATGCAGGAAACTGTGAGGAGCGAGAAGAGGGGGATACACTGGCTGACTGGACCAATGAAAAGACCTCAGAAGAAGATTTGGATTTCGTCGATGATGATTTATGTCTAATGTCGCACAAACTCGAAGATGTTACAGGCAAAAACTAACAAGTTGACAGAAGAGGTGAGGCAGCGAAGACGAGACTACAGGTGAATGTAGAGAAGACAGAGGTGATGATAATACCCAACCAACGCCACCGCCACCGCCACCGCCACAACCAACAACAACAAGGACCAATCACCACCAACGCGAGAAACTTAAAGGAAGTAGTCTCTTTCACCTACACCTACCTAGTAGTCAGCATCGTTTCAACTACAGGCGGTGAAGACGACGATGTCAAAACCAGGATCGGAAAGACAGCAAGATAGGCTTTCATTGATCTGAAATCAGCGTGGAGATTCACTTCACTCAACTCAGGATAAAGAACAAGATCCGGATTTTCAATACTAATGTCAGTCAAGTCAGTGCTCCTATATGGTTCAGAGACTTGGCGCGTCACGAAGAGCACTCCCAACAAACTGCAGACATTCATCAACAACTGCATACGCTGGCTCGTTACTGAAGATGGAAATCAGATGGCCAGAATAACAAGAATAAACAACAAGGAACTCTGGCTGGTGACCAACCAACCAACAACCAACCCATCACTTAACAAATATGCATTGGAGGGAAGTGGAGATGGATGAGATTGGGCATGAACTGAGAAGACCATTTGGGGACACCACGCTCCATGCCAGGCCGTCGAGTGGAATCCAAAGGGGAAGCGACGAGTTTGGCGTCCGTGTTGAGGGTGACATGGAGGAGATTATGTGAGGAAGAAATGGAAGCTTGTGGGCAGTGGTGGAGCCAGGTTGAAAAGACTGCAGAGAAGAGAGTGGAATGGAGACGTGGTAATGAAGCCCTATTTTTCACTAGGAACCCTGGGGGTGGGGGAATACTAATAATAATAAATATGTGTATGACAAGAATTTCAGGTCACTAATTCTACGTAAGCTATGAGAGAGCTGCTTGCCCGTTTTTAATGTAGACCATTTTTTTGTCTTGAAAAATAGTACTTTTGAAGCAGATTCACTAACGTAGTTCTGAGATTGAAATACTATCAGACAATGTCAACTGTTTATTTGAGTTTGATGCGAGTCCTTAAACCAGTTGTCATCGGACAACTGAATCCTAATAACTGTCATTCAGTGCAAAGTACATGAAACTGAAAGACTATAAGACCAATTTCACTAGCCTACCTATTTGTGTTGAGTTGACCATCTGAGACAGTTTACAATTAGCATAGATTCAAAATCGGCACTATTCCACAGTAAACGCGCAAAATGACAAACAGTATGACTGGAAAGCATTTCTGAGGCAGTCAGGAGTGACATCGGCTTACAAATGACCAGCCTAAAAGGGAGGAAAATTGGGAAGGACAGTTTACAGGAGAATGAATTAAATAAAAGAAAATAGTGGAATAGAAACATCCCAGATAAGCCTATGTTGACTGCTACATTACGATGTCGTATAGCCGAAGATTTAAAAGCGCTTTAGCAGATAAACATAGCTCAACAAAAACTATCTTAGCAACTGTTAGTTTGATTAAAAAACTTTAAAGACAACATCAGAGTATGATAAATATACAAGTAGAATATTTAGTTCAACACCCGACGAAAGTTTTAAGTTGTACAAGCTATAGGATGTCAACTAAAGGGTTAAGCTTAACACTACTACTTTGTATGACTGAACTGTTGGCAAATCCATGTAACGCTTTATGTCACTGCCTCAAATACTTGACTTTAAATCAATCTATCTCGACTCAAAAGCCTGTATACATGATAAGTACAACTTACTAGTTAGCCATTGAAGTCGTAAATCACAAGTGAACTGCACTTAACTCTGCAAATTAATTGCACATATATGACACTTAACAGTCTACACACAACAACGAATTTGTAAAACTATTGGAAGAGACAAGATGTAGCATTTTCCCAAAGTCCAATGATAAAAAAGAAAGTTGTTACAGTCAGAAAAGTAATCTTTATTGAATTTCCTCTGAATTTATGATAGAAAAAAACAGTAACAATTTACAATAAATATGAAATCATTTATACAAAACTAATAATTATTGAGAATTATTACTGCCTTGAATATGATTGAGAGCATTAATCTAGTTGCCTATCGTCACTTTTTTTAGTACAAATAATAATAGGTGTTGAGACTGAAGTAAGGGTTGGGTGAAGTGGATGAAAAGGTTATCTTTGGTAGTATTTACATAATTGCTATCTAAAAGTTTGTATGCATTGTAGTAATCTGTGTAAGATAGATCACATCACGACGATTAGAGAAATTTACAATAAGCAATCTTAATGAATAGACATAGAAAAGCTACTGAGAAATATACTATTCAAATATATATATATATATATATATATATATATATATATATATATATATATATATATATTCATTCTTCTCCATCGATTGTACAAAAGGAAAGAAATCCACAAAAATAGGAATGAATTAAAAATAACAAGAGAAAACACAATGTAATCGAGTTATACAAGTGATTGCACACAAAACTGAGAGCAGTTCAAACGTTTCCATAGGAAAAATTGTGATACAGGATTCCCGAAATTATGACTGGAAATCATTTGATGTACCTGCGATGAAGTTATGTTCACAGGGTAGAATGTGTACACCTCCTTCAAATGAATTGGCACATACAGTAACTTTTTAAGTATAATCCCCAGATAAACATCATCAAATCGAAGATATTTCGTATAACGTATGGCCACATTTAATTTACGCGCCAAATTCATTGAAAGGAAAAAATTACCCGCTGCTACATATGGAGGATAACCTTTGTGTGGATATTCATCCCAATCAATAAGCCATTTACTACGAATACCACTTTTCTTACGTATCGGTACTGCATTATACCACACATAACCACTGATTAACACGTCGCGTAATTCTTCACTTAAACCTTCTATATATGCAACCACATTCTGAGGGTAAACAAAATAATCATCATCAACAAACATAATGATTGGTACATTGGAGCAATACTTCACTGCCCAATCAATACCGAACATGATTTTATATGTATTATTATAGTAATGATCAAGAAAATCTTGTTGAATTATGTCACCATATACGTTTGATTCATTTTTTAATATATCACGTGAATGTGTATCGTTAGGTGGAACATTACCAAAAAGAAAGAGATGAATAACACGACGTCCACCCCAGCACAAATTATTCCCCCAAGTTGAACGTATAGCATCTCTACGTAAAAAATTCGATGGAGCAGATTTAATAAGTATTAAGAGTTCCAGAGGTTCTCCAGTTTTCAAAACAATATCCTCACACTTTTGACTTTCTGTAATAAGCATTGAGAATTGAGGATCATTTATGGGATTATATGGTGCAGATATATTTGATAGTATTTGTTTAACTAACTTAAGCATATCTATCTCCAAAGGATATTTGAGATCATCAGAACCCGTAGTAAAGGAAGACTTTACAGGTATTCTGTGTTTATCCTTAGGCATGGATGTAGTTACCAGTTGCTGAGGTATATTATTGTGAAAGAGACAATTTTGCGGAAGTGTGACATTTCCAGGCATAATGTTCACATAAGGAAGCTTAGGTGTCTGATGGTTATTTACAGTTGTGGATGAATAGTTCGATAAAATGATTATGGATCGAAATATCAGTGTGAGGATGAACAATACAATAGCAATTACTGCTGTGTTTGTCCACAAATAACAATTCTGATGCGACCCATTATTATGATCCTGTGTATAAAAATAACGGATAAGAGCATATATTTCCAGTATTTAAAAACAAAAGGCTATAATATGGTTGAAAATTCTCTACACCCCCTTTAAAAGAGCTGACACTTTTTGAAATGGCATACAATCAAACAAACAAAGAACACTTAGCACAAAAATACAGTTATCCAATTTTTCACACTTTGCAGCGAAGTATAAAAATACGCAGAAACACTGGATGATGCTAAAATGTAGGTTACTCAGAAGTTAAGAATTAAGGAAATAGTAAAGAGCGAAGGTATTTTCCTTTCTGCCATATCACACTTCACCCTATGTGAATGAATAACTAGTACTGCTGTGTTTTCCTGTTTATTAATAAATATTCCCAGAAACACAAAAGAAGCAGTGATTACATTTAAGATGGCTGACCTTTTGCTTAATATGCCCAGTCCCATCCCTTTATCATGTAGTTAATCTGAATAGAATAACTTAATAAATAAAGGTTATTAAACATTAACACAAGACATATCAAACAAAACTAGAGCGGCTCAAAATGTAAACACATCAGAATACCAGTTACAGCAAAACTGACAGCACAAATTATTTCATTATATCATATATGAGTCAGGAATCCGTTAAGAATGAAACTGCCCAATGATGCAGGCAGGAAATTAAAGTGACGAAGATACTAGGTAGTGTATGGGAATGAAAGGTACTGCCACCAGACTGGTCCACTTTACTGATCATTCCTGCGTATGAAAAGGGAGAAAGGTCTTCTTGTGGCAGCCATGGGGGAATTAGTTCGACTAATATTGTATCCACGACCCGATGATCCATAATTATCCGACGCCTAATTAGAGCTCATCAACAACAAACTGCAGAAAACAAGGCAGATTTCAGAACTAAACGAGGGTGCATCCATCATATTTTCACCCTCCGATAAGTCCTAACGGCCAATACTTGCCACATTTATCGACGTGAAGGCGGCATTTGACTCTGTTTGTCTTAAGGTGTTATGACACTGTTTGAATGAGCAGGGACTACCGAGCAACAACATAACACCAATCATGGCTCTCTACTCAAACTCACGCAGCCGTATAAGGCATTATGGAGTATTGTCATATGAACTGATGATAACTAGTGGTGTCCAACAGGGATGCCCACCATCATCGTCCTTATTTAAATTCTCTATAAATGTAATAATGAACATATGTCAACACTGGTCGATCTGATTTTACCAGCATTGCATTTTCAATGATTTAATAGATTTATCACACAGTGTAACAGTATTGTTTACTGGATTACGTTCCGGACAATTTATTGTCCATAGTCATATCAAGATAACTACACAACTTTGAGATATCCTTTATATAGTCCTAATTTCCTCGTCTCTATGAGTTGGGTAGTAAGATTTTCCATATATCCAGAACAGGTGCTGAGTCATTCCTGTCGCATGTGTTAGGTGTTGATTCGATAAACAAAGATTCAGTTATCAATCTCTCCCTCCACCCTGTTATGTTAGTCTTAAGAATTTTCACCCTGTCCATCCAATTGTATGGTTGTGTGTAATCGCATGCATAGCTATGGCTGAGCTTTTTTCTAAATTCCTTACCTTACTAATATCTACCAATTTCGACCTAGCTAGGTTTTTGTGTTCCGATAGCCTAATTGACCCTGGTCGACTACTTTGACCTATGTATTTGACCTGGCAATCGTTGCAAGGGATTTGGCAAACTAAGTTATTCTACTCGATTGGGTCAATAGGATCTTTTAACCTACAAAGCCTATTTCGAAGTGAGTTTGTAGGTTTAAATGCCACTCTAATCCCAGCCTTATTGAGAATCCTACGTAGTGTTTCTGAGGTGCCTTCTTTGTATGGTAATACTGTGGAGGTTTGAATTCTTTATTCACAGTATTGCCGCTACTATTATTAACATCATTACTACTATTATTGTTGCTGTTATTACCACTATTATTACTACTATTCATAACTGTATTATTGATATTTTTCTTACAATTCCTAAGGAGCTTATCAATTGATTTGGGAGAGTAATTGTTGATGATTAAGTAGTCTTTAGTGTATCTGGTTTCTTGTTTTAGACCTTCTGTTCTACTAGTAAGTTGTCTAAGTGTCTAAGTAACTGGGTCAAAAAACTAAAGACTAAAGACTACTTAATCATCAACAATTACTCTCCCAAATCAATTGATAAGCTCCTTAGGAATTGTAAGAAAAATATCAATAATACAGTTATGAATAGTAGTAATAATAGTGGTAATAACAGCAACAATAATAGTAGTAATGATGTTAATAATAGTAGCGGCAATACTGTGAATAAAGAATTCAAAACCTCCACAGTATTACCATACAAAGAAGGCACCTCAGAAACACTACGTAGGATTCTCAATAAGGCTGGGATTAGAGTGGCATTTAAACCTACAAACTCACTTCGAAATAGGCTTTGTAGGTTAAAAGATCCTATTGACCCAATCGAGTAGAATAACTTAGTTTGCCAAATCCCTTGCAACGATTGCCAGGTCAAATACATAGGTCAAAGTAGTCGACCAGGGTCAATTAGGCTATCGGAACACAAAAACCTAGCTAGGTCGAAATTGGTAGATATTAGTAAGGTAAGGAATTTAGAAAAAAGCTCAGCCATAGCTATGCATGCGATTACACACAACCATACAATTGGATGGACAGGGTGAAAATTCTTAAGACTAACATAACAGGGTGGAGGGAGAGATTGATAACTGAATCTTTGTTTATCGAATCAACACCTAACACATGCGACAGGAATGACTCAGCACCTGTTCTGGATATATGGAAAATCTTACTACCCAACTCATAGAGACGAGGAAATTAGGACTATATAAAGGATATCTCAAAGTTGTGTAGTTATCTTGATATGACTATGGACAATAAATTGTCCGGAACGTAATCCAGTAAACAATACTGTTACACTGTGTGGTAAATCTAATAAATCAATAAAAATGGAATTCTATTCTACCACAGTGCAAAAGTTTTACTCTTATATTCACTGTGATTGATCTGCTCCCTGAAGGCTATCTGGTTGATTTGGAGTATGCAGACAGTATTGTCCTGCTGGGGGAAAACGCTAACAAAACTCGGGGCGCTCTAGATGTGCTGAGCAGAAATCTTATCATGTTTGGCATGCATTTTACACCTGTCAAATGTGAGATGATGCTTCAGGACTGGTCTGTAACATATATTCATTTAAGGATAACGAGTGAATTGGTGGAATGTGTTGACCACTTTGCTTGCTTGGGGAGTTACATCAGCCCGAACAGACTGGTTGCTGACCAAATCTCAGCTGGGATGGAGAGAGCCCATATACCATTTGCCAACTTGCGTCATCTGTGGCACTGATTAGCGACATCTTCGACTACCCACCAAAGGACGAGTATACTGCACTGCAGTCAGTTTTGTCTGTTGTACAGCTGTGAGGCATGGTTGTTAAAAGTAGAGGATATGAAGTGATCAGTTCGTTTTGATCACAGATGTATTCGTAGCATTGTTCGCAACTACTGGAATCACCGCGTGAATGTTGATGTCAGGTTAAGGGTATTAGGCAAGAGGTTGTGAAGTTTCATCGGCTGACGTGGCTTGGACATGTACTAGGCATGCCGACCCACTGTCTACCCCGACGTCCCATGTTAAGGGAAGTCAGATTAGGTTAAAGAAGGGTTCAGGGTGGCCAGACCAAGACCTAGGGTCAGTCGATGAAGTCCCTGACTAGCGGTCTGAGCCATGTGGGGAAATGCAGACTGCGTGGTTTGGATCCCTGAGATAGTAGGAACCAGTGGTTGAGGACTCTTAGTGACAAAACTGAAAAGCAGTGACAACGGCATAGATGTATTCACTCCCTGGCATTTTGTAAAGTTCAAATATTTGCACTAAGCTTTATCTTCAGATTGTTTCTTCTCTCACACACAACTTTGTCTACTTTCACATCAATTTTTTTCCACAACCTGTTGTTTGTATGCTACCGTAAAGCGTGGCAACTTCAGCCGATGAACTTATGTTCGAGGTTCTACATTGATTTCAACGGTCTATCTGAGGATTGAACACAAGGTTGGTTCTCAGTGACGTAACATACACAAAAACGTAGTACATGGCACACAGTAACATCAGGGAAAGTCGCAAACCTTCATTAAAGTATGACAGAGGTAACTGATCCCTCTAATATAGTGATAATACAATTCATAAGTTGTCATCCTGAAAAAGTAGTAGAGAATATTTGTCATGATGAACGAATCGAGCTCTAATAGGTGGAACAAGTGTTTCAAAAGATGCTGTCATCTGAAGATGGTTGATAGAAATCGATAGAAATAAACCAACTAAGTGACCATGTGCCACTCCGTTTACTACTAAACACTAGGTCGTATCCACTATATGTGAAGGTTGGAGTCTTAAACTGTGGTAGATGAGGTGTCGTTGGGACCAGTGACTAATAGATTAACACATAGTTACTTAGAGAAAAAGCAACATTTTCAAAAGAATATGAAATAGTAACCATTTCAGATTGCGAAACTAAATAGTACTGCTTACCGTACCAATGTCTGATAATAACGAGGTATTTTCGGAGAATAACCAACATTTCTGGGAATTATTATATAAGTAAGTTTTAATATGATCCTAGTGATTAAGAAATCAAAACAAGATTTTTCTGAAGAAGCTGTGGCATACACTGTGAAACGTCCAGAAAAATTCTGTTCTGAATTTTAAACACAGGATTATACCAAAACTTACTTATGTAGTGATTAAACCTGACTCGAACCTCAACTTCTTTCAGGACATTTCTGGAAATTTATATAAGCTATGATCAAGGTTAGACCGAATAGCATCGTAAATATTGGGCTCTGAGTAAAAGGTTGACATTAGATATAGTTTGTATTTACGCGTCACAGCGTGTTTGAAATAAAATAATTCCAACGTTTCGTACGGAAGTCTGGTCCGAGCCTCTTCAGGGAAATAGTCAAAATTAAAATATCAAGGTTACATAAATGAATCCAAAGACACGTATTTGATCTTCTTGTTCAATCCTCTTTGTATAGTCATTGTCTCTCTAAGATATGATTACTCACCATTTAGTGCAAAATTGTATGTCTCTCGTTGCATGGTTACATATATATATATATATATATATATATATATATATATATATATATATATATATATATATATATATATATATATGACATTTCAGTTACCCGGTGATTTTTATAAGTACAATAGGACATATGAAGTGGAGATGTATGTCACTTCGCTTAGTATATAAGGATGAATGGTATAAACAAATTTTCATTGGTTTGTTGGAATAGAGTGGAGACGAATGGTAGTAAGGATGGAGGAAACGATAATAATAATGAATCAAATCAATTCAGATTGTGTTGTTGCTGACGCGCGAATGATAAAACTGAGACTGGTGTTGAAGGTAAATGCTACAGCCGCTCTTTCTGCTTACTAATTAGTAATTGACAAGAAGCACCTAACTGTACTCCATCTTGTTTGTTCAAACTATTTGGATTTCCCTGTATATGTAGGGCTTCCGGTATCAAGAACTTTTTGTAGAACCTTAGTTCCATCAAAGTCAATTGTATGACCCAGTTCCATGAAGTGCCTAGCGTTTTCCCACTTTTCTTCTAGCTTCTTAACCACTGCTGAGGTTTCGGAATCTGCTTTAGACATAATCTATACTCCTTCACTATTACATTTACCTACTTGCCTATTTCCCTCAAATATACTGCAGTACAATCTGGGGATTTGATTTCTTAGACTCAGTTTTGCTGATTTTCTTTAAGTACTATATCTTTATTTTTCACTAAGTTAAACAGTAGAGTTTATCGAGAATCCTTCTTATTTCTTCCGAGGTCTCCGTACGATAAAGGATCATCACAGCGTTTATCCAGATTTTCAAAAACTACAGAATGACTACAATATCACTTGCGACCTTGTTGTCTCGTATTTACTATCAAATAGAATATGAATAGTAACACACACACACGCTAACCATACAACGAAAGGCATACAATTTCACACTGAATGATGAATAATCAGATCTTAGAGAGACAATGACTATACAAAGAGGATTGAGCAAGGAGATCAGATACATGTCTTTAGATTCATTTATGTATCATTTTTGAACACCTGAGATAGCCTTGTTTTGGCAGACTATTGTTACTGGGTTATGATTGAAGGTATGTATCCTTGATCTTCTAATTTCGACTATTTTTCTGAAGAAGCTTGGACCAGATTTCCATGCGAAATGTTGGAATTATTTCATTTCAAACACGCTATGACACTTAAATACAAACTATATCGAATTTCTGGAAATGTTTTCATCCCATTTTCAATAAGGTATATTGAAAACAGTCAGTCCTAAAAAATACAGATTATCGTAAGACAAAATCAGTTCTATGATATCAAAACATTATCTCCGAACAAATTAAGGTTCATCAACCTCGGGTGGATACCCAGTGCGTTCTGCAGATACGACCATGCTACTAATCGAAAAAAAATTCATTCCAACCTATGAAAGGCTGAGATTATAACCTATCCGTTCATCTTCAGAAGCATTTGGGTACTTCTTGCTCAAAAACCTCTTTGCTTGTTGTCATTTCTTCTTTCTATTCATTCTCGATACTTTCTCGTTTTTTTATCCCTGCAACTTTTGCTTACTAACTGAACTAAAACAGAACTCCAAATCTCCTAAAACAGAATTTCAAGCAAACAATGAGGATTTCGGTGTTTGAAATGCGTTAGAAAGGAGATTTTATTGATTATACCAAAATATGAACACCAGCAAGTGGGCTACATAGAATATACCGTAATGAAGATGTAGAAAGATAAGGAATAAAAATGGTCAGAAAGGAAGGACGTTTAGACAGCTTTGGCTACTCTAGTATTTTTGGAACTAGAAAAAGCCACATCATAGCCGTATTTGACCGGTTTTAACAACTTGGTGCTCCAGTTTTCCAGAAAGGAGGAAAATCCTCTTGTTATAACTGCAGGAAATAAGTTTAACTGATAGTCTCTACAATCCTAGGTTCTGTAATAATTTAGAGTAGGGCGAGCCTAGGAAAACTTTATGAGTATTAGTCCTGGCTGTAAACGTATAAACTATATCTTTACCCTACACTGAACCTACCATGATGTTCATCGTTTTCATAACCCAGCTATAAACATAACCACCACCTGAAAGGGACATTTGATTTTACTGATCGACGAGTTTCCGAAGTGTCTCTTTATGAAAAGACATACAGAATCAACGTACAACCTCGCACACAAATGCACTGGTTCACATTGCCACACTTCACAGCAGCAGGCAAATAACAACGGGTTGGAAAAAGGATTTGAAAACTATAGTTTGTTAAAATCTTCAAACTTTAAAAGACGTCAAAGGGTGAATACATCGGCGCCGTTATAACCGACTTCGAGCCATGTAACAAAAGATTTCCAACCATTGGTTTCTACAATTTTGAGGACCCCAGCCAGGTGGTCTGCACTTCTCTACACATCTCAAACCAACAGTCAGAGACTTCAACTGATGCTTAGTATTGGTTTGATCACATTGGGTCTTTTTCCAACTCAATCTTATTTCCACCAACATTACACTTCGAACTTGGTGGTGGCTAGGCACACGAGACACATGTTCAAATCACCTCAGCTGCTGAAGGTTCACAACCTGATCCACTGACTTAACTTCTCTGTCTAGTACCCAGCTAAATTTACTGATAAGTTCATCAGAAATCAAAAGAAGAATATGAGCAGTAGCAGTAATACAGGCGTTATTAATAATAATTCTACTACTAATAATAATAATGGTGGTATTAATGGTGACGGGGTAGAGAGAGAGAATTCAAAGCCTCCAAAGTGTTAACATGCAAAGGCACCTCAGAAGCGTTTCGAAGGATCCTCAATACGACTTACTGGGATTAAAGTGGCGTTTAAACCAACAAACTCGCTTAGAAACAAGCCTTGTGGGTTAAAAGATCCTGTTGGTTTAATTAAACAAAATAATTTAGTTTACCAGATCCCTTGCAATGACTGCAACGTCAAGTACTGAGGGTCATAGTAGTCAACGAGGGTCATTTGGAATAACAACAGAGCACAAAAGCTTAGCTAAACTAAATCAAGATTATTAGATCCTAGTAAGATAAGGAATTCAAAGAAAAGCTCAGCTACAGCTATGCATGCAATCGCATACAATCTCACACGATAAGGTGGGATAGAGCGACAGTATTAAAAACTTGGGTGGAGGAAGAGATTGATAACTAAATCTTCGTTTATAGAATCAACATCAAATAAATGCAACAGAAATGACTCTGCATTTGTCCCAGATATATGGAAAATTCTACTACCCTTATCACAAAGGAGGGAGAATTAAAACTACATAAACCATGTCTCAAAGTTACGGATTTACCCGATTTGAACACGGACAATAAATTACGTTCGAAACGTTAACTGTCCGAAGCAGTAAATAATGCTGTTTCACTATGTGACAATTCTAATTAAAAGACTAAAACGGAGCTACAATCTAACAGAGTGCCCAAGTTTTACTCCGATATTAATTGGAAGTTTTATGTGTTCCACACCAAGGCCTACGGCGGTGCACAATAAGATTTTTGTTTGTTGGAAACATACTAGATACAACACGGGCACCAAAAGAGGCATCCCCTGATTTACTATAGCAACACAATCAAGCCAAAATGAAAAGAGGTAGGAGATGTAAAGCTATCAGATAATCAGCTTTACAAAATAAAGTCAAGAATCTTTTACTGAATTTGTTACTCCACACAAGTTAAAGATACAAGAAAGCTACAACATGTTGGCTACTGGCTTCACTTAGCCTTATCTGATATCATCTTCAGTCAGAGTTACATACTTTCTCGAACCCCATCTACAGGTCTTGAGGAACCAGCAGATGCCAACCCTAATACTTTTCATTCCACCGTACGTCACATATTGACCAATCTAAGAGCTAGTAAACATGAACTCTCTCACTGAAAACTACTTAAGTGATTATTCCGCTAGATATGAGATCCTTCAAAGAAAATGACGCAACACAGAGTCACTGAAAATTCACAGTTTGAAGAGGTTAGTCGTAGAAGTAGCACAATTCCCCTTACTGATGCGTCGTAAAACCAGAATAACATCACAACGGTATCAGAGGTTATCCACATTAAAGTATTCTGCTCTGCCTTATCATATACGATTTAAGAAACTCATCTGTCTCGCATCCATCGGTAATCACACAATCAACGAAACACAATAACATTTTGACTGCATCCAATGGTTCACCACTCAGGCTAAGTGCATACAAACTTTTATCGATTTTGTAAAGTCCCTTTGAACTTTTTGGTCCAAAACAGGCACCATGATTACCAATACACTTCGCCAACTGACTAGGCTGCATGTTGTCACACAGTATGGTGATACGGCTTGGATACGTGAGGTCAATAAGTCTTTATCCTGGTAGCAGATTTACCACAACACTAAATATTATATTAGAGAGGAATGGCGACATCAGAAGACAATACCAGTCTCCATTGCTGGTTTTTGAGCATCAGAGATGTGAGTGTATCCTCTTACTTTATTTAGGATATTTTTACAGTGACTCTTTAAGACGCTAAGTAACATTTCAGGTTCATAGAACTCCAGAATCCCGTCCTTTCCAATAGATTGAATGTAGTTCAAATGACAAGAAACAGGACGATTATTGACCTGAAATGAGTGTAATGGAAACTTAACAACTAATAGGTGATAAGCAGGTAATGGATAAATTCATGACCTGGAGAAAACCAACTTATTTCTCATTAATGACTTCTACATGTGTTTCCCCAAAGCTTTCTAAGTATGACATCAGCCATTACTTGTGGTAACTAGTAGCAGACTAACACCCTAATAGTTTACCTACACCTTTTGCAAATTCCCCTTAACTTTGGACACAGTAATGGTCTCATTTCAAAGTGATGCAGCAACCTAACTGTACCATACATTTTAAGACGATATAGTTAGTTCCTTAGCTAGAGTACCATCTTCTTCCTTGAACGGTAGGTAGTGGTTTTTCTACAACAATAGTTTTACGGAGTTTGCATACTTAGTTCCTTTTGGAGCTTTGCTTCGTTAAGTAAGTCAGTGTTAACCCGACTGAAAGTACGAGACATAGTGGAGTTTGTAATGTAGTAGGTCAGTCAATTTCCTCTATGGGGTGTTTCAGGAATCTTGGTGTCAATTATTGCGAATCGGAAGGAAATAGTTATTTATTAATTGAAGTAATCAGTAAATTGTGCATGATACTCAAGATGTTTTCATATCGTTTATCGACATCTGACTCCAACATCACATGAAAGAAGCACGGACGAGCGGTTTGTGATATAGAGCTATGAGTTAAAGAATAACTTTTTGGTTTCGCATCCTTTGGCGAATGATGACTGTATTGGAGGTGCAGAGGAAAATTCAGTGGTTCAAGATATTACCAGATATGGATTGAAGTTAAAGCCAGCTGTGATTACGCAGTAGTTTCCACGTATATTTTTGAAGAGCAACACAATTAAATTCTTTCAAAAGAATATTCTTACTGCGTTCTTTGATTCTCCTATTATTTTCTATTCCTCTTTATCTGTGGCTAATAAACGTCTCCCCTTTCGAGGTGTATTTCTTTGTGTGTGCTGTACAAAGTTCGTGTTAAAATTAATTAGTAGATAAAACCACATTAACTGAATGACAGATAAACACAAGATTTCTAAGCCAAAATATCACATCTAAAATTACTTATAAAAAAATGAAAATCAGGAAAAAATGAAGATGGTAGACAAATGTTATCAAGGGTTTCCAACAACTGACTTGTACAGTATTACGAAATTGAGCAATGAAGTTAGACGGCAAAAACCCATAATCAGGAACCTTGTGAGTTGGGATAACAAACACGATTATAGGTAGTCAGACTCCAAATGGCTGACGCTAGATAATGAGGTAATGAGGTATTCAGTCATACTAACAGCCTATAGGTTAGCTGAAGAATTGCAATTAAAATACTGTACATGTTTATAACCGACAAGAATGTATAGTCTTAATACACGCCCACATGTGGACTGTTGAAGTGGAATGAAAACAACATTAAATCTCATTGCAGAAGTATTGGTACAATCACATTAAAATAGCACTTTCATCAGAATTTGTGGCATTTCGTCTGTGTCCTTCACAAATGGTGCTCTGGGAATAACTTTGTGCTTATGTACAACAGTACACCAAACTGGAATTTTAGCTTGAATTACAGCCTCTATGTTCAAAATTACCTGTGATCATTAGTATTTCACCACCATCATGAAGTTCTTGTCGGTCAAACGATTAGAGAAATGAACCACTGTAATTACCGCTTTCTATACACACCTACTGCCCAACATGAATCACGATGAAAATTATAAATATTTGGCCATAGACCTCCCCTAGGGGACCTCAGAATGTAGGGTGAGAAACAAAATAATACGAAAGTGACTATAATATGCTACGTCAGCGAGCTTGATCACATGTTGAAATACAAATCGTGTTAATGAGCCCATAGACACGATTTGCATTTCCATATATGATCAAGCTCGCTGACGTGGCATATTATATTCAGTGATTGCTCATGAGCAATCACAGAAACCTTCAGTTCGAAAAGTTACAGACATATTATAATATGATACCCTTGATGGTTAACTCTTTAATCGTATGAACATTTATGAGTAACCAATATACATCAAGAATCTAATTACTTCTTACTTCAAAACAAGAATGCAAATATTCAAAGTGAGACTCGGAAACTATAAAACGGTGCAGTAAACTGATTCTCGTAAACAGTGCCACTGACCTCCGAAGTAACATATAGAACTACAAAAACCAGACTTTCGTCACTAACTAACCATAATCATTTACACGGGAACGACCATAATTAATATCCGTTGCCATTGGTAACTCGAGTTACCGCGGTCCTACTTAGGTCACTTAAGAAAATGTTCAATGACTCAGCAAAAGTCATTTACGAACAGGAGTTTGAAGTTACTTGCTGTTTAGATATTTATCATAAGACAAAAATATATAGAGAGTAGTCTTGCAAATTCGCGACCATTATATTTGGGTCCTGGTTTCAATTCATTTGTGGACCAATTAAATGTCGAACATTTTTCGTATGGTTTTTCATTGCATGTGTGTATCATGGATATGACATGTTCTGATAAACATCTTCAATTTTTGTCCGTACTGTGCCAGATGAAGCTACCTTGAAAATAAGTTCATCATTCTACTTAGATATCGGCTCCCCTAGTTAAGTCACAGTACCCCTGAGGCACAATCACTGTATGTGTGGGTGGTGGTTGCTCCTTGGATGAAAACGGCCAAGCACCAGTAAACCATGAGCACTATCATGTTCCTTCCTCTTTTTGCCTCTGAGTCTCACATAAAAATTGCATCCGCATTCACGCAACAGGAGCAACAAAATAAGTTATGATGACGTGCTTTCCCAAAAACGAAAGGTATTTCGGAAGCTCGGCTCATATAAAATTAAGTCTTGTGTGAACGTCAGCAATAAACTCTCTGATAAGAGGTCAGGGTAGGTGCTGTAGAATGATGAGAAGTCACCAAAAATTTGTACTGGAAGGATAGTCCGTATGCCTGGAATGGACAAACACTTTTAGGTGGGCTATGCAATGTCTCTGAAGTCCATCGGCTAATTTTCAGGTGGTTTCTGCCACCGCCTGAATTTCTCGTTAGATGCCTGTTATGGCGAAGAAACTGATACCTTAGAAAGTAACAGCGGAAGTTGCACCCATGGTAACAAGCGCCATTGCGGCAGAGTCGGCTTGTATGAGGAAGAGAACTAGAAACTTTCGAGGTGTCTAGAAATAAACAGCACTTACTGCGCAAGTGCCATAAAAGCCTTATAAAGTTGTCATCAAATTGAGGGGTATCTATTTTTTATGCATCCCAGTTTCCCATGTCAGTTAAAAGACCCTTATTCATAGGACGAAACACAAATGAACAACTAATTTTGCATTTAGTATCCACCTCACCCGAGGACAGTACCCCAGTATAAGTAGCATTAGAAGGAAATTTGCTGGTGATCAGCCATATCCACTGTTTTTCAAAAGTTGTACTCCAGTTTCATGTGTTACATGCACAAGATTAGGGAATTGAAACTTGAGTCCCGTTATATTGGTCCTAAGCGTCGATGAGTGGGACGGCTATAGACAAAGATGCAGACGACAGGTACGCTGTAGTCATCTGAAATGCCTGATGAGTAAGAGGACAGGAAAGAATAATAACAATAAATTTATTCTCACACTGGTAATTTAACATGAGAGAAGCATCATCACAATGACATCAGTCAGTCTTCGATGAATAACAACTTGAAATATTTCCAAATCTCCACAACTCCCTCAAAACATTGATATATGTCGAAAAATCTACGAGATTTTAGGGGTCCTGAATAGTACAGTGGGGAGGTCGTTTAACCTCATCAAAGACATCAGATCGCGGTTACGGGACAAAGAAAAATACCACTTTCAGCATATACAGTGCGTCAAAGTGAAGATAATAAAAATTCTCATTCCCATATAATGGATTTGACATGACAGATATCAGCTCACAGGCACCGTCAATGTGATAGTTTTGAAAATTTACAGAATGGCACCTTGAATTATATCACTCACATAGAAAGTTGTTGACATGCATAAGCTTATTAAAACTTACTGCAAATCAAGAGACAGGCATGGATTTCCATCTGTCATCATATGGATAGTTTCCACGACAAAAGCTCCTAATGTTGGAAGTTTGCGTTATAACCAGACGACGTTGTTAGTCCATTTGCACAACTCTTATTTAGTAATGTAAACATCCACTCACTAAAACGTTCTTCAGTTTTCAGCTTTGCAAACCACAAAGGACCTATTTATACCATCTGGAGTATCAGTTATATAACCAAGGTGAGTGTCTAAATCCATGCATTACCAGTTCACCATGTGATGTTAGATCGTTATTTAATGGTAATAATAATAATACTATATATTTCATACAACACAGGTTACATGAATACAAACCAGTTTACAGGTTTGACCCTTTTGGTAATGGGAAATGACTATTGTGTACAGTGTTAAGGTGCACATTAGATACCGTAATTCGTGGCATATAAGAGATGTGTTGAAGCAGGACCAGTTCGAAATTAGGAATTATTCGGTTATTGTTTGAGTCCTCCAATATTCTTGAGGATGGAGCCGCATCATGGTCATGATCTTGGGGTGTGTGCATTCGTCATAAGGTTTTGATGGCGAGGTGCCCACTGACACATGCGGTTTGTAGGATTCCATTTGAATGCAGGACTGGTTAGGTAAACATGAAAAGTGAATAAAAAAAGTGAGCAGCAGGCGATATTCGAAACAGGAGCACAAAAATATGCAGGAGTAGATCAACCATGATACATCTGGGTGAGTTCTTTGTACTGACTACAAAACTTACTTGAAGAAGTATCCAGAACCCACTGTTTAGAGGTAAGCCTAGGTGGAAAAAGATGAAGGTGCACACGGCGGTGATGAAAATTAGTCTGAAGCCGAAGATATCACTACGAAATAGAGAGATTAGAGGATTTTGGACCAGGTATCCACTTGTTATATACCAATGCGCTGACGTTTGATGAAGTTATAAACATTTGAGTGAAATTCGTGGTTTTTACTAAGGCGGTAACCACCCTTTATCTGGTCACGGAGGGGATGATGATCATGGTGTTGCCTGCTGAGTATCACCATATCAGTGCTACCGAAACAGTATGGTGGCGCAGAGTACTTACATGTAAGTACTGACGACAAAGGGCAAATAATAAAACATGTTACATGCTATGAAAATGCACCGATAGACAGTTATTTTATCAATTTGGAGTAGAGAGGTTATTTTAAGGGACGAATTTCAGGAAATAGGTGTTAAGTTGTGAGATCAATTAGGTTGTGAAGAAATGTAGGTTACATTAGAGTAGCTACTGAGTTCACTGTTTCAAATCGTATCGCACTCCGCTTCCTGTTCACTCTTGGTCATTTTTATTTCAAATAAATTAGATTTTGACTTAACTATTGCGTTACTTTTCGGCATTGTATACTTTCGTCATTGCCGTTAGTCTCCCTTCAGTCTAGGTATTGGTAGCACCTTTGTACATGGTATTACCGTTTGTGGTTTGGCCGTTAGATAGGAGGAATTCACCAAGTAGTCGTTGAAACTGGCCGAGAGATCGACATGCTCGTATAGGAGCGGGGAGTTTGTTCCACAACGTACTGTATTGAGTTATGAAAAACCTACATCGAAGCTTTGTGTGGTACTTATTTATTGAAATGATGTACTCAATATTACGTGGATTGTATGCCTGTGTTGATTTAAAAGTGACAGCACATTTCGTTTTAGAGTCTGAAAATAAAGGTGAAAAAGAAATGTTAAGTAGAGCTTCAGGCGTCTCAGCCAGAGTGATTCTAGTCCTAGTATTTTGCATCTTGCTTCGTATGCAAGTCTTTCTTTATGTATTGGTAGGCGCCGAGTAAAATTCGCTGAATGTTCTCTACTTGAATTCTGTCCGATACTTTCATGTTACCATAGATAACCATGCAGTGTTCTAATATTGGGTGAACCATAACCTTGTACAGTATAAGTTATGCCTCAGGTGTATGTTTCTGTGTAGAAGACCAATGAGTCTTCTGCCCTTAGAAACTAGTGAATCTGCATACTCCGTAAAGGTCAAACGTCTGGAGTAAGTGATTCCGAGGTCTCTCATAGTATTGTATATCTGCAGTGCGATGTCACCCAAGTGTAGCATTACTTCTGGGTGGGATTTATTGAAATGGAGGATGCCACTACTATTTGGGTTTAGAGGGAGCTGACAGGTCACGCTCCATGTGAATATTCTCTTCAGATCTTCTTGTATTTGAGGGAAACCTTGTGCCAGTGCTGCAGGAGAAAAGCTGTAGACTATCTTCAAGTCGTCTGCGAAAAGGTAAGGTATGCCGTTTCGGATAACACCGCAGATATCGTTCACATAGATTGGAAAAAGTATCGGTCCTGGCACACTGCCTTGGACGTCACCACTTTGTACAGGTCTGGGGGTTCATAGTTGAATGGCCGAAAACCAGGGAAGCGAAGGTTGTAGTAATGAATGACAAGATATGTGTAAAAAAAGCCTAAATTCTTAAATTTTTGGACGGTGTCGTATCGGATCCCGCTGCCACTTAGGCTATTACTCCTTAGCCGAATGAGTTCTCCATTAGTTTAAGTGTGCTGCACGAGTGCCGGTCAACCCAAAAAACACTTGAGCTCGCAGGTTCAGGCAGAGTTCGGAAGCCTAATGCAATAATGAACGAGGAAACAGGTTCAATAATGTGCGTGAATTTAACCTTGTGAAACCTGATGCAAACCTACATGAGAGGGCCCAACGTAATCATCGTAGCATGGTTCTGTGTAATGAAACGAATTTACTAGTCTGGTATAGAGTAGCACCCTTGAAATCACAAAGTCAGGACCGCGCAAGTCATCACAACCATCGATGAGATAGACATTATTCTAAACTACCTCACTTTTATTCTTTGCTGTGTGATCAAATTGACCCGGCCCCAGCAATCGATGCATGGTCGTCGGAGTACCGAATGCGCTTCGTATGAACCTGAAGGATTTTGCTGCTATAGTTTCGGTTTCGATAATCGGTCATGGATAGTGGCTCAGATGATAAAGGGCCATCATGTTGTAGGGATGCGTGTTACAATTCCGTAACGATTGACCAACCCTACTTAATTTGATGTGCTCTAGTACCTGCTTAACCAGTACTTTACCTAACGTGTAAGTACTGATAACAAAACACAAATCAAAAGAACTGATACGCAATGTATTTAAAGGAGCTATGTATTTTAGGTAATTTTAATAATAATGAATGAGGGAAAAGTTTAATCAACTTATCTGGCTTGTAAGGCTGAACTAGGGACTCGGAGTACGTGCGTGGTGATCAGCACAATGGAGCGCAAAAATGGCGTCCAAGCCTGCTCGGATGCATGCTCGTTAAAACAAAACTTAAAACACCCTAAGCATCCGGAGGCAAGCTAGAGATTTATTTAGTTAATTTAATTTA